CAAAAAAATTCAATTTTTCTTAGGCAGACGATTTTAATGCATATTCTTGCACAAAATACTCCTAAAAGTGTAGAAAAAAATTGACAGCCAAATACGAGTAGAGGAAGCCACCTATTACCACCAAAAAGTCATCCAACCCAAAAATCCAAAATCATGAAAAAGTTCCCAAAAAAATTCAATTTTTCTTAGGCAGACGATTTTAATGCATATTCTTGCACAAAATACTCCTAAAAGTGTAGAAAAAAATTGACAGCCAAATACGAGTAGAGGAAGCCACCTATTACCACCAAAAAGTCATCCAACCCAAAAATCCAAAATCATGAAAAAGTTCCCAAAAAAATTCAATTTTTCTTAGGCAGACGATTTTAATGCATATTCTTGCACAAAATACTCCTAAAAGTGTAGAAAAAAATTGACAGCCAAATACGAGTAGAGGAAGCCACCTATTACCACCAAAAAGTCATCCAACCCAAAAATCCAAAATCATGAAAAAGTTCCCAAAAAAATTCAATTTTTCTTAGGCAGACGATTTTAATGCATATTCTTGCACAAAATACTCCTAAAAGTGTAGAAAAAAATTGACAGCCAAATACGAGTAGAGGAAGCCACCTATTACCACCAAAAAGTCATCCAACCCAAAAATCCAAAATCATGAAAAAGTTCCAAAAAAATTCAATTTTTCTTAGGCAGACGATTTTAATGCATATTCTTGCACAAAATACTCCTAAAAGTGTAGAAAAAAATTGACAGCCAAATACGAGTAGAGGAAGCCACCTATTACCACCAAAAAGTCATCCAACCCAAAAATCCAAAATCATGAAAAAGTTCCCAAAAAAATTCAATTTTTCTTAGGCAGACGATTTTAATGCATATTCTTGCACAAAATACTCCTAAAAGTGTAGAAAAAAATTGACAGCCAAATACGAGTAGAGGAAGCCACCTATTACCACCAAAAAGTCATCCAACCCAAAAATCCAAAATCATGAAAAAGTTCCCAAAAAAATTCAATTTTTCTTAGGCAGACGATTTTAATGCATATTCTTGCACAAAATACTCCTAAAAGTGTAGAAAAAAATTGACAGCCAAATACGAGTAGAGGAAGCCACCTATTACCACCAAAAAGTCATCCAACCCAAAAATCCAAAATCATGAAAAAGTTCCCAAAAAAATTCAATTTTTCTTAGGCAGACGATTTTAATGCATATTCTTGCACAAAATACTCCTAAAAGTGTAGAAAAAAATTGACAGCCAAATACGAGTAGAGGAAGCCACCTATTACCACCAAAAAGTCATCCAACCCAAAAATCCAAAATCATGAAAAAGTTCCAAAAAAATTCAATTTTTCTTAGGCAGACGATTTTAATGCATATTCTTGCACAAAATACTCCTAAAAGTGTAGAAAAAAATTGACAGCCAAATACGAGTAGAGGAAGCCACCTATTACCACCAAAAAGTCATCCAACCCAAAAATCCAAAATCATGAAAAAGTTCCCAAAAAAATTCAATTTTTCTTAGGCAGACGATTTTAATGCATATTCTTGCACAAAATACTCCTAAAAGTGTAGAAAAAAATTGACAGCCAAATACGAGTAGAGGAAGCCACCTATTACCACCAAAAAGTCATCCAACCCAAAAATCCAAAATCATGAAAAAGTTCCCAAAAAAATTCAATTTTTCTTAGGCAGACGATTTTAATGCATATTCTTGCACAAAATACTCCTAAAAGTGTAGAAAAAAATTGACAGCCAAATACGAGTAGAGGAAGCCACCTATTACCACCAAAAAGTCATCCAACCCAAAAATCCAAAATCATGAAAAAGTTCCAAAAAAATTCAATTTTTCTTAGGCAGACGATTTTAATGCATATTCTTGCACAAAATACTCCTAAAAGTGTAGAAAAAAATTGACAGCCAAATACGAGTAGAGGAAGCCACCTATTACCACCAAAAAGTCATCCAACCCAAAAATCCAAAATCATGAAAAAGTTCCCAAAAAAATTCAATTTTTCTTAGGCAGACGATTTTAATGCATATTCTTGCACAAAATACTCCTAAAAGTGTAGAAAAAAATTGACAGCCAAATACGAGTAGAGGAAGCCACCTATTACCACCAAAAAGTCATCCAACCCAAAAATCCAAAATCATGAAAAAGTTCCCAAAAAAATTCAATTTTTCTTAGGCAGACGATTTTAATGCATATTCTTGCACAAAATACTCCTAAAAGTGTAGAAAAAAATTGACAGCCAAATACGAGTAGAGGAAGCCACCTATTACCACCAAAAAGTCATCCAACCCAAAAATCCAAAATCATGAAAAAGTTCCCAAAAAAATTCAATTTTTCTTAGGCAGACGATTTTAATGCATATTCTTGCACAAAATACTCCTAAAAGTGTAGAAAAAAATTGACAGCCAAATACGAGTAGAGGAAGCCACCTATTACCACCAAAAAGTCATCCAACCCAAAAATCCAAAATCATGAAAAAGTTCCCAAAAAAATTCAATTTTTCTTAGGCAGACGATTTTAATGCATATTCTTGCACAAAATACTCCTAAAAGTGTAGAAAAAAATTGACAGCCAAATACGAGTAGAGGAAGCCACCTATTACCACCAAAAAGTCATCCAACCCAAAAATCCAAAATCATGAAAAAGTTCCCAAAAAAATTCAATTTTTCTTAGGCAGACGATTTTAATGCATATTCTTGCACAAAATACTCCTAAAAGTGTAGAAAAAAATTGACAGCCAAATACGAGTAGAGGAAGCCACCTATTACCACCAAAAAGTCATCCAACCCAAAAATCCAAAATCATGAAAAAGTTCCCAAAAAAATTCAATTTTTCTTAGGCAGACGATTTTAATGCATATTCTTGCACAAAATACTCCTAAAAGTGTAGAAAAAAATTGACAGCCAAATACGAGTAGAGGAAGCCACCTATTACCACCAAAAAGTCATCCAACCCAAAAATCCAAAATCATGAAAAAGTTCCCAAAAAAATTCAATTTTTCTTAGGCAGACGATTTTAATGCATATTCTTGCACAAAATACTCCTAAAAGTGTAGAAAAAAATTGACAGCCAAATACGAGTAGAGGAAGCCACCTATTACCACCAAAAAGTCATCCAACCCAAAAATCCAAAATCATGAAAAAGTTCCCAAAAAAATTCAATTTTTCTTAGGCAGACGATTTTAATGCATATTCTTGCACAAAATACTCCTAAAAGTGTAGAAAAAAA